CGATTACGACGACCAACTCGCGACGATATTTTCTACCGCACTACCTGCCCGCCGTCTTCGATAATTGCCACATATCACATAACCACGCCGATTCAAGCAAACGACAAACGACCCCTCTTCCTTCAACCTCGCCCTAGCCTTCAAACTCGATCTCGAACGAGCCGCCTTTGCGCTCCCATGTCCCTCTTTGGACATTGAACAGCACCGCTCTCTACGTTCAGCGCATGTCTTGCTGCCCTTGGTGGGAGCTATCTCTGACCTCCAGCCCTTCCCGTCTCTCCGAATCCCGAAATACACGACGAACCCGAAACCGATCTCTGCCATCTTCTCAACCTGACTCACCACTGAACTACGACGGCGTGATGAATGCCTCCTGCGCATCCATCCCGTCTCGTTAGAATCGCGCTGAACTCGCAAATATCATCCGATTACCATCATATCTCTCCTTTTTTCCAACTGTTTCTTTCGTCGCACACATGAACCGCCGTGTTTGAGAGGCCGAAGCCGAATCTTGTGCAACTGAGCAGAAGCTGGGCGGAGCGCTGGCCCAGACAAAGGAACGCGAGCAAGGGATTATAACTCACAACACGCACGGCACGCCTTGCCTCCGCTACACACAATGGATTTGAGGAGTTTGATGAACACGTCCGACGATGGGGGGGAGAGGCCGCGTGCTGCTGCTGCTGCTGCCACTGCCGCCGCCGCTGGTGGCCCTCCTCCCGGCCATCCTACTCATGTTCACGCCCATGGCCATCAGCATCCACCTCCTCAGCATCTCGCGCCGAAGCATCAGCGTCATCCGCAACAGCAGCAGCAGCACCACCACCAACAACAGCAGCAGCAGCAGCAGCAGCAGCAGCAACAGCAACAACCGCCACCACAGCCACCGTACCAGCAACAGGCCCCCACGACGCCTTCCCAGGCTACGACGGCCTATGCCTTCAGAGAATCGGCGTACAGTCACGCATTGCATTCATCCCCCGGTAAACCGCCAGCACCTCAGGAATATGCCGTACATCCCCAGGCCTCGACCCCGTCGTATCCTCCGCAGTCGCCTTATCAGACTCCGGGCCCGTATCCCGGCCGGCCAGCGCCGCCGCCCCTTCAAGCTGGTGCTCCTGCCCCTTATGCCGATGCGCGATCACCCCAGAGTGCATCCATGCCAGGCCCGTCTCCGTATCGTCATACGCCGGCATCTTCCGTTAGCGGTCCCAGTGGAGGTTATCCCTTCCCGCCGACCGGTCCGTCTCAGGAAGCTGCCAGCCCTGTGCAACGACACCAGCAATATCCGCCATCCAACGCGTTCCCCCCGAGAGACGGCTATCCTCATCCATCTGGTGCAACCGCGCCTCAGTACGCTCAACAGCAGCAACCGCCGCCACCGCAGCAGCATATGCCTCAAACACCGCCCATTGGGACCCCTGTTAGCGGACACCCATATCTCCATCAGCGCTCACAATCAAACCATTCAACTCCTACACCTACATCTGCTCATAGTCAGCATCCGCAGCATCCCGGCCAGCCATATCCTCTTCACGGCAGTCCTGTGGCGACGACGCATCCGCCGCCCGATTTCAACCGGCAGCTCTCGCAGCCTCCGACCCCACTGGGCCCGCCCCAGACCGGGCCTCGACAATCTTCCACTGCACCAAGCTTTACACAACCACAAAGCCCGTATCAACAGAGACTATCCGCCTCACACCTCGCTCAAGCCACACCTCCACCACCACCTCCCCCAGTTCGCATGCCCAGTTCCTCCCACAGCACCCACGAACGAAGATCATTATCACATAGTGAACGCGACCGAAGTATTAGCGTCAGCCCCAAGACCAGAATACCGAGTTTGCCGAGTAGCATTGGTGGGCAGACAGAACCAGAAGCGCGACCACACCCAAGCGTCACCAACATGGTGGAACCCGAACGCGAACGCGCTGCGACGCCCGCCAAGAGAAAACTCGCCGACCGAGACTTGAGTCCCAGGGAATTGGAACGGAAGGAGCCACGGCCCCCGCCGGCAGAGCTCAATGGCGGACCCGCCATCTCTAGGTCACCCGTGATGCAACGAAAGAGAAAGATCCACGCGACACCCCCAATTTGGGCTCAGACTTGGAATGCTCGAGAAAATAAGAGGCTCAAGCTGGCCAATTTCGAGCTCCAGAAACGAGGGCCGCCGCACATCAATGGCAAGTCCGAGTCTGTCAAGCAGGATAGCACCAGCCGCCATACCTCACCAGAGGCAGCGCGATCCACCGCTCCTCCAGTTCAAGAACCGCCCCCGCCGCCAAAGGCCGAAAGTCTGCTTGGTCCTTGGGAGGAAAGCATCCTCGGTACTCGACCTTACGAAGAGCTGTCTAAGACGATCGCCGATTTCTTATTCAAGAATGTCACGCTCCATCCTGATAGTGGGGAGATAATAGGACGTGGCGTGCAGTTCGAAATCGAGGCCAAGATGGGACAGCTCATCGACAGAGACACCAATGATCGTGTCGAGAGAGCGATAGGCTCGGAATGTGTTCTGCACGATACCGGGCGTCTAGCTTTCAGAAGCAGCATGACTGAGGTTTGTTTACCGATCTTTATGGGGAAAGAAACACAAGAGCTAATCCCATTGTTTCTCTGCAGGCTCAGCACAAAGGTCTCAACGAATTCCTCAACACCATGGTTGTGCAGACCGATCCCCGAAACCCCAACGCACGCGGCCGAGTACAAGTACAATATAAACATCGACGAGAGATTGACAAGTTCTACGAGCTGCCAAATGCTCTGCAGGCCCGGCTGCCTGGTTGTGTCCGTTCCCTACTAGGTAACAGGCGTTCAATCAAGGTTCGAGTCACATATGACCAAAAAACGCAGCAGGTCCTGGCCAAGATTGTCAAGGCCCGCGTGGCAGATATCCACCTACATCTTCCCACATGCCCACTCGACTGCCGCCTTAGCATCAATCTCGAAATGGCATGGGATGGATCCGTTGAGGAATTGGAAAGCGTGGCCGTCGGCCATGCAGACAAGTTCCCTGACCGGAACAAGGACCGTCTCAGCTACAAGCAAAATCACTACCAGATCGACTTGACCCAAGTGACGCAAATGATGCCTGGTCCTGGAGTAAGTGAACGCTTGCTTGGAAGTGTCGCCCATGGACTTTGCTAACAAGAGAAAAGAACACCTCACAGATGAGCAAGGAACACGAACTGGAAATAGAGTTATCACCCGAAATCGTTATCGATCAACAACGCCGCGCCATGAGGAACGAGCCGCATCAATACCAGCAACTTGTTGAGGCATTCGTCGACAACGTCCGCGTCCTCGCGCGCAAAAGCCGCGAATTTGTGTAATATTTATTTGTACGGACGTATCATAAAACTTGCCTTTTTTCGTTTTTCTTTTTCTACAAGTAGCTAGGGTGGTTTGATACCAAAAAACAGAGTGGCTGCGATTGGGAGTCAAGGACTGAGGCGATGCGTGTTTTGGAGAGTCGTTTCTTCATAGCTGGCTTGGGGTGCTTCGATTTGAACTTCTGGGCTCGTTACCCGATTGACATTTCGTTCACTCGTGGGGTTGGTCAATACTGAAATATTGGTTGCCGCGGCCGTTTGCTGTTTGGCACTCTCTACAGCGCATCGCTACTTCTACTTGTGACAGTACGCCTGTGAGAGATCTGTTTCCTACATTGTCTTCTTACTTTACTTGAGCAGTCGTGAGTGAGAAGAATCCAGGGTTCCGTGTGACCAATGCGGTCTTTTCCTGCTTCCCGCTGCTGTAAACGTTCCCATATCGCCTCAGAGGTACAAGACGGCAAGGGGGACAATATAGAAGACGGAGGAAGGCAAGTCCAAAGACCTCAAACTTGGCCATATCAATATCGAAATCAGACCTGAGCCAGAAGAGGTTCTTACAGCCCAACGTTCATAATCCGATGCGGGTAATTTTCCCTACATTCGATGTGTCTATTCCCTGGGAAAGAGCCAGCTCTTCAAAGTTCCGTTGCCCGTGTTAAATCGACGTGAAGAACACCGGCATCATTAAATTTTGAACTTTTTTTCTTTTCTTTTTTTCTTTGTACTCTTGCTTCTTAGATTGAAGCTGTAAAACCATTGCGAGTGGTCATCGCATCTCCAGTGTCGTTTTCGAAGCTTCTAGAACTGGTCCAGGGTGATCCCATTCACATTGATGTCTTTGTCCAGGTGCCTACACACATACATCAGCAATAATTAACGTACATCATGCCTCGACTGCCGGCTCAAGACATAAGAAACCTGAAAAAGTTTGCTTCCTACCTCTCCTGGCCCATGTACGTTCGCAAGGGATGTCCAGTGCAAACAAAGATGTCTCGCTTCGATCTCTCACCAGTGACCTTGACCCTGACGAAGCTTTGATAGACAATGGACAATGGGTATCAGTTTGCCAAATTTGCCAATGCAGACGTCTTGATCTTGTCAAAGGATTGAGCTATTTCGGAATGCCATTCACACCTTGAGTCCAGCAATGGTGGAACATGCTTCATCCCCTTGAATAAACTCGTTCGTTGATATTTGAGACGTCTTTTTGCAAAGCTTCTTGGTTGACACAAGATACTTCCTCTCTTCAACCTTCGCAAAACTCACAACTCTTTTCCTTCCTTCTCTGCTCTGCCTTTGACTCGTACACTATCTATTATCTCGGACTTCAGGCTTGTAAAACTCTATCTTCCCGTCCATCTCGGCATGTCTGAACCGACCAAAAAGATATCCGAGCCGCAGGAAAGGTACAACCCTCTCATTAGACCAACTGATGAGCACTGGAAGACCATCCATGGCCACTTTAAAGATCTTCTCAGCTTGCCCACCACGCGCATAGGACAAGTCTTGGAGGATTACTTTACATCGCACGAGCGGAAGCTTTTCATGCCAGCTACGGAGCCTCGCAGTTTGAGGAATTGTCAAGAAGACAACGCCCGACGATACCAAGGCATGATTGGCAACAGATTCAAAGAATGTCGCCCCTCACTGGCAACGAAATTCACAATGCTCTACTTCGGACTGCCTGTCGAGCCCATTTTGTCTGAGCTGACGCGCTTTTCGAAGCCGGATTTTGATGTGGACGACTGGGATGAACTCTGCACTGCCGAGGTCCGCCCTCCGCTGCACTTCCTGACAGCCTACGACCAGAGAAATTTTGGATACGACTACATGAGAGGTTAGTAATTGCTATCCAAGCACAATCAGTCAAGCTAAGACGAAGAAAAGGAAAAGAGGATCAATACAGCACGATCCCTGTGGCAGCTTCTCAAATGCCAGACGCCACTGGTGAAGGACTAAGCCTTCGAGGAGGGGGCGACGATGATGATGCCTTGATGGCAGATGTGGACTATCCGCCAGATAATGGTGAAGAAGACAGCCTTGGTCCATCACAGACTGCCATGGTTATGGATAACGAAGACGACAATTCATTGGGTGACGGCTCCAGCAGTGAGATCGTGACGATGCCTGTGACGGGCATATTAAATAAAGTCATCTCCGGAAGAGGGACTGCCACGCCTGACTCGAGGCGACGTCAAAACCAGTCGGCGATAACCTCTAAAATCGGGCACCCATCACCAGAATCGGACAAAGTACATGGCTGGGTTCCTCTGTTTGGATTCCAAGGCAGGATCATGTTTGATACGGACGACATGTCCACGTTTCAGGCGGCTGCGAGAAAGCTCTTGTCCCTGCGCCAACGGGAGCAAAGCGACATCGTACTCGTTGAATTTGATTTCAAGACGGCAAAAGTCCTGCGGCGATTCGATGACAACATTCCGCTCAACCCTGTTAGTGATCTTGCGGAACACCTGGGACAGGCAACCAAGTCCGCATCCAGCTCGGCCTGGTTCGTGCTTCGGAGAGGCGAAGATATTCCCTCCGAATGGGAGCCTCCAGAGTCCTTCTTCTTGACCACGCTCATCAAGTTGACTTATGTTGACGACGACGGGCGAGAAAACCTCTCGTATCTCAAAGTGCCCGATGGCAAAAGTTTCTTTGGCCCCAAGCAAAAGGGCTACATCTACCCTGCCAATAAACCCTGGGGTTCCAATCAATACATGCCCTTTATAACGACGGCACAAGAAGTGCTGGTGGGAAGACCGGATCAGCCAGGAGGAAGCCGCTGTGATCTTATCATTTCACGTGATGATGAAGATCCAGAGGGATCATCACCACCGTGGTATGGTGGTCTGGAAATCCACCGCGAACTCTGGGATAGCATGCATCCTCTGATCAGCAAGGGTCAAGCGTTCAGAGTTAAAACTCGCCCCGTGGCAAACGATACCGTTGTGTTCTACCTGCCGGGAAACTCGAACAACGCCAGAACTCTCAAGAACCGAGAGTGCCTTCGGCGAACAGGCTCTGGAGACCCCTATCCCGACGCCCTGCACAAGGTTGGCCTAATGACGAAAAGCGTCAGAATGCCCATGAAAGCCTCTCACTACCTGATTTGGCGCGGGGTCGACTATTTCAACCAATTAATCAGTCGCCCCGTTGGAGCCTACAGTCCAGTTCGATGGAATTATCGGGACAAAACTTCTTCGGAACAAGCCCAGAAGGCGCTATCAAAGCTCATTGCCCGTTCTGTCGACGACAAGAATGAGCCCTGTCAGTTCTTCGTGATCCAGCCAATGGATGGGGCTGAAGATCCATGCACGATCGAGGCGGTTGAAGGACTAACAGGTCAGGCAGAGTTCAGTATGGAGCCTCTTACTATGAAAGCGTTGAAAACCACGATGGAAATGCTCTATGCCGGAGACGAAGAGATCACTTACGACGCTGAAAAGGACAGCGTTGTCATGGAGCCTCTTTTCGACGAAGAAACAATTGGAAGAAGTTGGAGCCCGGCCAGCTTCGTTCTTCGGCCGGACGCCACCGACTCCGAGGCATCCATGGCCCGGCGCTTCATCCTGACTCAGATGGTGCGAGCAGACGTCTTGCAAGATGACGAGTTGGACTTTGGTGAGAAAAAATACCCCTTGAATATTCCCTGAGATCGCAGCTAATCTAAGACGCGTGTAGTCAAAACACTGGCTAAAGCAGCGGAGGCAAATAATCACTGGGGTCCTCGGTATGGCGAAGTGGCACCCTTTCGAAAGGAGTTATCCCTGCCAGCAATCGTTCCCCCTGGCAAGCTCCATCCCGTGGTTTTCCATGAACCGAAGACGCCGCCTCCTGCTCCTCGGAAATCAGCTCATCCTATGCCGAGGGAGCCTGACCAGACACCCCGTGAAGGAAGCTATGTGCGGCAGCCAAGCATCTTTGACATGGGTGTCTGGAACCCCTCCTTTCCGATCAACGCGCCGCCCGTGGAGGCCATTCTGAGGACTGGGGCAGGCCGAGTCCCTATGGTCACCAAGAACGTCCTAACGCCCAGTGAGCAGCGGGAACTACAGAATAAAGTCTGGAGTCTCTCCAAAGTAAACCTGGCTCGGCTAGCCGCGTGTCCGTACCAGAAATGCCGGTTCACATATCGCCAAGATGAGGACGAGACGCTTCTGGTGCATTTGGAGAAGACTCATGCCGAAGAGAAATGCCCGTGGTGTGATATCCAGCTCTTCAAACACTGGTCCTACAAGCAGAAGGAAGAACACTACAGAAACTCCCATGCAGACCAGCTGCGAAAGGTGCTTCAGCTTCCTGAGAGACCCAAATCGCATCCGCCTCAAAACCAAACGACCAGCCTCGAAAAGCTACGCAATAGCCCTTCGGAGGCCATTACATCTCTTTCAACCTTTAGAATAACCGACCAAGCCAGACCTCCAGTTGGCCCGTTACCTCAGCCAGAACAGCCAGCGAAAGCCAGCGACAGGGAGAAAGTCTATCGATACTGTGATCGTTGCGGTCGTGACCACAAAGAACTCAAGACCTATGAGGACCGAAAGCATCATGATCGTGTTTGTGTCCCCCTGGCTGAGGGAGCCGGGCGATGTACATTCTGTAAACTTTGCGGAGATCGTGTGTGGAAGACTGAGAAAGATGCCACAGATTTTGGACCTTTCGACACTTATCCTCACAAGTGCCACGGCACTCTCCACGAAAACAAGCCGCATTGCACCAAGTGCGGATTCTCGATGAAGAAACTCTCTGACGAGAAAGTCGACAGACATCGCAAGTTCTGTGGGGGCTTCTTTGGTACCCTGGGTTGTTTCTGTCCGTACTGCCAGAAATCCTTTGTAAGCGATGGAACCCAGAAGCCTATTGATGAAATTAAAAATCACATCACGGCTTGCCCTCAAGAAGAGGGCATCAAGCCAACGCCGTGGGACATCTATTCAGAGGTCTTTTGGAGAGATACTGACAAGTCAATCGACCCTCTCTTCGTGGGGGCCGCGGAGACCTCCGCGGCCTTGTGCAAACAACAACGTCGTCCTCGCGCTTCTAGTCGCTATCTCAGTCTCCCTCTCATGTGGCATGATAAGCCGGGACCGATTCCTACGTCAGACCCGCCTTCTGAGTGTCCTGCCGCCGGGTGTCGAGAACCTCTTTTCGGCCTGATGCCATCCGAGGTTCTAGGACACTTTGAGAAGAAACATTTTGAGGAGCCCCTGAAACAGTGTCCGCTCTGCCACCTGTCGTTCAAGAGGCCCAAGGAAGATCGCGAGAAGCAACCGGAGCTCGGGGAGTGGGAGGACAGAAAAGACCAGGTCTCCCACATGGAGTGTCACGTCTATCAGCTTTGGGACATTTTGGCTGGCAGTACTCGGCCTCCTGCGATGGTCAATCAGGAACCCTTCAACCCGGGTCACAGTCTTTGGGATCCCGAGAATGAGAGCGCATTGGATCGGCGTGACAAGCGCTGTCCGCACTTTGACCAGTGTGGCGCCATGGTGGGCTTCATGAACCAACTCCAGTGGAACGAGCATTTGAAGAAGGCGCACGCTATCGAGCCCCTTGAGGCACAGATTGTCCGAGACATGGACGCTGAAATCGCGGCTGCTCGCGAAGAAAGGAGGCAGCAGAGAATTCGCGAGGGAAAGAATCCAATTCCAGGTCTGCCGGCGCCCAAAAATATACAAGACAGCGGATCGGGGCCAGATGTGACAGGAGAGACGCAAACAGGAACAGGTCCCAGTGTTCAGCTCAGTGAAGATGACGAGGATGACCCAGAGTCCCAAGACGTTCGGCAAGACGTACTCGGCCCCAAGGATAGTACAGCGAGAGGACCAAAACCCGAGAGTAAAGTTCACGAAGGCCATCGAGGCAGCCGTCCTCACGGGCCTGGGCCGATTCTTTCACCCCCGCCTACGGGTTCCAAACCGCACACAGCCACCGCTTTGGGGAAAAGACCTCGCCAAGGAGAAAAGCAGCCAAAGAGTCCGAAGGGCCCGATAAAGAACCCTCCTAAAGATTCTGAAAAAGTGACTACGGACCCCAACAGTGTCAAGGGAACGCCACAGACAGGTGGCAATCCGCCCACGGCTAAGTTTGTGCCGGCTGATGACATGTACTGTTCACGGTGCTTGCGTCCGATTCCCAAGAGTAACACGAATGGCGAACCTTCGAAACAAGTGCAGATAGACGTGAGTACCATACAATTCTGAGGTACACAGAGCTAACTCATTACCTTTAGGCACACTCAGATCCGAGACGTAGCTGCCGAATTCCAGCGAGACAAGGCAAAGTACAATTTGACCGTGAAGACAAGGCCATATTGCCGAGCAAAGTCGGTTGGATCACGCAAAAAGAAATCGTTAAAGCGGGCGGTGTGACCAAACTCAGAAAAGCCTTTGTCAAAAACAACCCGGGTTTGAAGATGACCATATACCCTACCGATAACAGATTTACGGATATGAGGAACTTGTGGACGCGGGATCCGAATCATCCCAAGAACAAAGATAACTGGGGATTGCGTTTTCGGCCCCGAAATGATGATGAAACTGATGAGAGCGAGGACGACGGCTTGCGAAATTACCACCCAGAAAATGATGAACCCGGGGACGACGATGAGGACGAGGAAGAGGACGAAGGGGTTGAGAAGATAGCCGATGCAGATGGCGAAGACAACGACGATGATGTGGAGGAGGACGACGATGACGACGGCGGTCCCGGGAACCGGGCTAAGCAGAAGCGGAAGCCGTATCGTGGATTTTCCACCCACGATCCGACATACCGAGACCGTGGGGAAGAGGATGATCTGAGCCAGACTAGCGACAGGGAACTGGTACCGGAGAGCGGAGATGATGGAGCTGGTACCTTTGGTGGATCATCCGGTGCGAAGCGGAAGCGCGGGACTGGGGAGTCATCAGGACAGGGTAACAAGGGGGGCAAGGATAAGACACAGGAGAGGCATCCTAAGAAGGCCAAGGTGGACGCGAGTTCTCAGGGCGATGACAGGGTGGTGAGTGGTGAAGCGAGTGTGAGTGAGAGATTTGATGGGAGCTTGAAGTGAATGTCGTTAGCTATGACAGAGCTCAAGGTATCTTGTTGAGCTCTTTTGCTGAGTACATAATGGGAGAATAGCTTCATCTACTGAACAATTCCGGTGGCTTCGTTGAGTAACATGCTTGGAATGAGTGATTGTCCACTCAGTTGCCTTCTTGACAGTCGACTTACCCACGATTCGTCTATATCTCAACAAGCCTGGATCGTCGGTTCGTCGCCAATGGTCCGGGATACATAACAAGCGAGGTTCATTTAAAGTTGCGGGGGTGTAAGTGGTGTACACCGCACGCGTGCAGTAGGTATTCAAGAGGCAGATAGAGGCAATGAGAGGGCTGTAAGTTGTGGTGACTGCCGTCTCCATCACGTCGGCGACTAACAGGGCTCAGGATGGAGGTTGAGACGTATCCAGGCCGGCCCGCGACGGTGTTCGGGGTCCACGTGGGCGGTTTCGCGGCTTTCATCGGTCTCGTTCGGCCACTTGGAGCACCATGACACACGGATTTTGATGGTTTCGAGTTTATTGTCGGCTGAAAGTCTGATAACGTGACTCTTGATGTGGTTCGGGACATATGGGAGGTCAATGCCAGCGATTTTCATTGAAGACCAATGGATCGAGACACGTAAAGGCAAAGGAACCCCCATGTCGTGCCCAGCTTGTGCAGGTCCAAGGTCTTCTTCCTGGAACTGGTCCCATTCACACATCCGTCCAGCCAAAGGGCATGCTTACCTAAGGACCAAGAAAACGAAAGTGGACCCCATCGGTCGGCGATGTCGGTGGTCCCCGGTGATAGGTACGTACCGTTTGCATAACGACATGTGCTATGTAGCGTACAAAGGCATCACTCACCTCGAAATTATGCAGAATCTACACGTGCCACACGTAATTGTGTAGACCCACTGTCGAGTTTTTCCCTCCTCTCAAAACAGCCAAAAGGCCATCGAGGCGCAATCACGCCATCGCCCCGGTCAGTCACCTCATCGTCCAAGCTCCACACCAGAGCCGCGCTCTCGACGTCGTCCACCACCAAACGAAGCCCATCCCGCCCAATCTAGCCATTCACCTCGATCCAAATCCAATGCAAGCGCCGCGGCGTCTATTTAGCGAGCTCTTACAGCTCTCGACCAGGCGGCCCGTCCCTCCTCGTCCGACTCTTGGAGCATGGCGGCCGAGCTACATCCCTGATCTTCCTCATCCTCCTCCAGGATGTCGTCCTCTACACGCCTCTGCCTGCTCGAGACACCCCCGACCGACATCCGCCTCCTCGACGCCTTTGGCCGGTGGACAGGAATATATCCAGAAACACCAGACTACTGGTACCCGGCAGGGAGAGCGCGGGGATGAACGTGAGCCCCAGCACCCACGCCGTCGCAAAGGTCCGGCCACCGTCAGTACATTGCTTGCTAGCGGCGGGCTCCTGTCTCTCTTTGTCGGCCTCTCGGAGCCCTTCCATGTGCCCACTCAGGACGAAGTAGATGTCTCCGACCCGGACCCGTCCACCGACGACCGCGACCCGTCTATCCCTCGCTTCAGGCTCTCCGAAATCCGAAAACATGATGCCAAATCCGGCAGCCCTTGGGTTACCCAAGGCGACAAGGTCTACGACATTACCGACTGGGTTGCTGCACACCCCGGAGGTGATGTCATCCTCCGTGCCGCTGGAGGTAGCATTGATCCCTACTGGAACATCTTCACCATCCACAAGTCGCCCCACGTTTATGAGATCCTCCAACAGTACTTGATTGGCTTTATCGAATCGGACGACCTTGTTGACGGCAAGCCCGCTGCTCAGGAAATAGAAGACCCCTTCAAGCACGATCCTACCCGTGATGAGAGACTCATCACCCTCACTCCCAAGCCTCGTAATGCAGAGACCCCCGTCGAAGGCCTGGCAGACAGCTACCTCACTCCCAATGAACTCTTTTACGTGCGCAACCACATGTGGGTTCCACAGGTTGATGATACTTCGGACTACACCCTCAAGATTGAGCTCCTCGATGGCACCATCAAGGAGTACAGCCTCGATGACCTAAAGACCAAGTTCAAACCTACTACTGTTGTGGCTGTTTTGCAGTGTTCTGGGAACCGCCGAAGCGACATGACCCGTAACGCGAAGAAGACCAATGGACTCCAGTGGAATGTCGGCGCTATCTCTTGTGCGGAATGGCAGGGCGTGAAGCTCACCGACGTACTTGCTGATGCCGGCATTCCTATACTCGAGGCCATGACTGGAGACACGGAGGCCAAGCACGTTCAATTCATGGCCCTTGAAGCCTACGGCGCCTCGATTCCCATTGAGTCTGCTTTGGACCCGCGTGGTGATGTTCTGTTGGCTTACTCGATGAATGGCAAGCCGCTGCCGCGAGACCACGGGTACCCTCTCCGTGCTCTTGTGCCAGGCCACGTCGCCGCTCGTTCCGTCAAGTGGTTGAGCCAGATCACCATTTCTGATGAAGAAAGTCATAGTCAATGGCAACGCAAGGATTACAAGTGCTTTGGCCCCAACGAGACGAGTCCCGACTGGGACCGCGCCGCACCGATTCAGGAGATGCCCATCACAAGCGCCATTACCACCGTCAGATTAGGTGACTGGAAAGCAACAACAAACGAGTCATCGGCAAACGAGGATACCGGCAGCGTCCGCGAAGCGTCTCTCATGGGCTATGCGTATTCTGGTGGCGGTCGCCGGATCGTTCGTGTCGATGTGAGCGTCGACAATGGCAAGACCTGGGATCAAGCCGAGTTACTTGACGAGCCTGGAGCCCCTCCAAAAACCGGGCACAAGTCCTGGGCTTGGAAACGCTGGAGGTACGACGGCGCAATCCCACTTGGCGAGCCAGGTGAAGGGACCAAGAAGTGCACCACCCTGCTCGTCAAGGCTACGGACGAGGCGTACAACTCGCAACCCGAGAGCTACGCGGCAATTTATAATCAGCGAGGAAACTTGGCCAACGCGTGGCACCGTCTGAAGGTTTGCTCTGAATGTGCCAACAAGGCCGTGGTCGTGGCTAAGTAGCAAATCGGTATACGATGTAAAGAAGAAGGCCGAGTGAGCAAGTGGCAGCAAAAAGAGGTGAAGAAAGATAAGAGACGAGAGTTTTTCGATGGCTGCGGGAGTTTCCACACGCGTCGAGTATATTTGAAGCAGCGGAGGCGTATTGCGGAGTCATGAAGCGAAGCCTTTTGTTCACAAGTATCGCTTTGTTCTTGGTCCATTCTTTTACTCGGCGTCCACGTCAACGATGAAGTTTTTCAACAACCCAAGGGGATGTGGCGGTATTTTCTTCTGTTCATTTTTTTGTTTGCTTCTTCAAGAGCTCGAATGCGGCCGTAGAATGTCAGTTTCGGCGCGTAGTCTATAACCCAAATTGAGGTGATATTGCAAAGATCTCCACGTCCCTTCGTATACCTCAAACAACTGTGAATCGCAAAGTAACGAACTAGCCGTGAGCTGTGACTTAATACTGCAACTAGTGATGAGAGCTGTCTAGAGCAAATCTATGATGGCCAGTCGAGGACATGTCTTACGAGTAAAATAGATACCTGACCTGCGGTGGTGGTGGATCTGAAGCAGCAAAGTTCTGTGCACCAGTAATGTAAAGTCTAGTGGACTGGGTGAGAAGGGTAGAAGAGCAAGCTGCAAATATTCGGAAAGGGAACAACATCATGGGCATTCACTAGGATCAATGGGCAACACTACATCCCCATTTACACACGACTGAAAGTATACTGCTCATTGATATGGAAAACCAAGATTTAGAAGCAATGAATTACGCCGTTTCCAGGATATGATTTTACCTAGATTCAAACTCGGGTAAGTGAAAGATGGTATGTTTTCTGTTATGAACGCGCACGACTTTGGGCGCATCTTCCTTTTCTACACAAACGCCGGGTAATGTACAACCTTGCCTTGCCTCCCATCGCCAAATACACAAGCCAGCTAGAAGGCTCCGACGGTTTCCTCTCAGATCAACACCCTTGGCATCTAGTCATCGTCGGTGTATCTGGGTCCGCTGGCTGCTGGAGTCTCGGGTGCGCCATAAGCCGCAGGAGTCGGCGCGCCGTAGTAGGCTGATGAGGAGTTGAAGCCGCTGGCGGCCGGAGTAGGAGCACCAGCAGCCGGTGTGGGCGCCGAGTCTGCTCCCCATCCACCTTGCCATCCGCCGCCTGGAGTTGGGGCACTTGCGGCACCTGGCGTAGGCGCCGAGTAGGCACCAGGAGTAGGGGCGTTGAGAGCTCCGGGTGTTGGTGCACTCAGAAGAGCGCCACCGGGCGTCGGTGCGTCGTAAGAGTTGCCGGGTGTGTAGCCCCATGAGTCGCCCCCGCTGGCACCGGGTGTAGGCGCAGAGCCATAAGCAGGTGTCTTGGATCCAGAGCCCCAGGTATCTCCGCCTCCGTACGCCGGCGTCTTCGAACCAAGGCCAAAGGCGTCATGTGCCGGTGTCTTTGCGCCTGATTGCCACGCAGGGGTTCTTGAACCTCCGCCGTACGCGGTGCGGTTGCCATCTCCGTAGGCAGTTCGAGAGCCATCGGCCCAGGCTGGGGTACGAGATCCGCCGTAATCTGGGCCACTTGACTTCCAAGCAGGTGTACGGCCACCGGTAGGTGCAGGAGCTTGTGTTTGTTAGCATCCGTGTTCAAGAGAATAGCGAAGTTGAGAGCTGACTTACTCCTTGAGCCCCATGCCGGGGTTCTCTCTGGGCCGCCAGAGGCAACAGGGGTTCGGCCTCCTTGCCAGTCTCCTCCATGTCCTCCACGGCCACCACCCGGAGGACCACTGTGTCCACCACGACCTCCACGGCCGTTGATTTCAATCTTGGCTCCTGTGATTCTATCCTTGAAGCTCAAGTGATCTTTAGGTACAGTGATTGTCTTGCTCTTAGTGTGCAGCTCGACACGAGCGTGTGTGTCAGTCGCATCCTTGACAATTCCGAGAAGACCCTTGTAACCGCCCTTTCGGATAATGACTGTCTTGTCGATAGCACGATCACGTCCTCCAAAGCTCTTGGGCGGTGCCATCTTGCTCTCAGATCCGTTGGGGTTGCGCTTCATGGCGGGATTCATCTGATCCAGGTTTGGGCCGGCTGAAAGCACACGCCCACCCTTGGCAGCGATTGTATTGACATTTCCAGCCTTGGTCACGAAGACACCGGCGTTCTCATTACTGTCGGTGTTGTGAAGGAAGAGATAGGCACGGTGGATGTGGATAATCTTGCCCTGGCGTTGCTGACCGCCATACTCCCTGACCACGTCGTCGAGTCTGATTTCGGAGCCGTTTCTATCGGCGGCTACGGCGATCTTCCTCTTCGGCAGTTTGTTGGCGATCTGCGAAGGCATGACTTGCCGCGTGTCTCCGTTCTGGTCGAGAACCATCACGGACTCACGGTCGACCTTGACAATACAGCCAACTGTCGTGGGGTCTAGCTGGACGAGGTCAAACAGCTCGTACTGACCTAGCGAGCCCTGTCCTCCAATGTCGCTAGCTTCCCGCAAATCTTTGCTGAAGACGGTGACTTCGGTGTTGGTTTGATCGGTCAAGAAAGTGACTCGGTCTTCTGAGATCTTGACGACCATACCAACTTCATCACGGAACCTACTGCCGCTAGTAACCTTGACGTGATCTCCAATCCTGAAACGCTTTCTCAGGCCCTTGGTCGGCACCTCAATAATCTGTCCGGCTAGTACTCCTTCTGTGACTTGCATGGTGACAATGTCACCTTGGACGTTGGTGGCCTTTCCAACCACGCCCTTCTGCTCGCCCTCGTAGACTTCAATAATGTCACCAGGCAGGTAGGTTACATTGATGTTGCTGTCCTTCAAGCTCGATGCCAAAGCCTTCAAGTCGAGGTTCTCGGTGCCGTCCTCAGCACCGGAGGCAAACCTGGTAACCTCCTCCAGGGTTGGGTTGACGTCCGTAACCACCAGTTGCTGGATCTTGATATCCTTGACTTGGAAGCCGTTCTCGAACTCGTCGCCCATGTAATTCCACACCTTGGTAGTTGGATTACCCTGGATATGTCTCGGGTGCCGCTTGCGAGCTTCGGTCTCGTTGAAGAGGCGCTGAGGTGGGCGCGGGCCCGCTACGCCGACGGGTCGCTTTCTTTTGCCGTCGGCAGTCACCGCCGACAGCGCATCGTCTCTCATTCCGTAGTCAAGACGAGGGATGAACCGAACTCTGGCCTCGAGGCCGTTCTCAGTGACGTCGATGACCTGAGCAAGATCGCCAGCGTGTTTGGCAGGCTTGCGGAGTCTCACCCATGCGCCGGGTTCCAGGGTGGGGGTCTTGGTAACACGAAGCAAGTCAGGCATATCCTTGATGTCGACGAGAATCATCTTGGATCGCGGGTAGACGTTGAACATGCCGTCGAGAGCAACCATGATGTCGGTGGAGCGATTGGCTTCAACATAGATGTAGCCTTTCATGACGGAGGTCGGGCCACCGCGCTCAAAGGCCGAAATAATGGCCAGCTCGTCCTTGGTCCCAAGTCTCTCTTCGATACGCTTCATGATGGAGAAGACCACCTCCCGCTCCTTACCTTCCTTACATCTGACAGCCCAGATGGTAGGATCGTCGACACTAGGCATCAGCAGGCGCTTAGGAACAACGGCCGAGTCCCCAAAGCCCTTGTTCGGCCGGCGGTTTCCGTAACGCTGTCGAAGGATTTCGGCTTGCTTTTCGGCATCCATACTCGCCTCCATCTCGCGACGACGGTCTAACTCTCTGTGACGCCTGTCGTCATCGAGGCCTCCGCTCTCAGCAATGTCGTCGGGATGGGCATTGTCAATGAAGTCTTCAATCTCCTCGCCATCTTTCTCCTCATCCTCGCCGTCCTCCTCGTCGTCGACTTCGGCCTCGATATCGAAGAAGGCGGCTCGGCGGTCCTTCCTGCGCTTGCGACGATGCCCCTATTGATCAATTATTAGAAAAGTTCACGCCGAGAGAAAGAGGAGGCTATATCAGGGGTTGCGGTGAAGGTAAAGATTTGCCGAGCGCCTTCCCGGCGTAGCTTTGTGTAATAAGGCAGACGGCGCGGGCAGCGACAGGCTTACCTGTTGAACATCGTCTTCGTCCTCGTCGTCCTCATCCTCTTCTTCATCGTCGTCATCGTGTTGGCCCGCATCATCTTCGTCTTCTTCGTCGTCGTCGTCAATTACTCTCGATTTAGAGGGAGCAGGTGCGTCGTCAGCAGGGCTGCTTTCTCGAGCATGGTTGTCGCTGGCTGGTTGGTCGGGTTCCTCGTCAGACAAGTCGGCGGGCGCAGGGTTGAAGTCATCCTCCTCCTCAGAATCCTCGTAGCGGTTGGAAGACATGGTGGGAAATAACGAAACGTCGAGTCAAGAGTTTCGAGTTCGTAATTTTCCCGTGATGTCGCTGATGCGAGGTCCTTTCCGAGGTGAATCTGCAAAAGAAGCAGAGTATCCGTACCAAGGGAAGGAAACAATGGTCCTTCCAACTGGTTCGCCTGATGGCAGGCAGCGACCTTTTCTCCGGCGAATCAATCAAGCGGATAGATGGAGGAAAAGGCCGAAGGCTTTTGGCTGTCGGGTCTCAGGGTGGGATTGAGGTGAAGGCAAAGGTAAAGGAAAAGGCAACGGGAGGATAGAAAGCTTAGAACAAGCAAAGGCAACGACTAAAGACGGGCGAATAACGCGAAGGACATCTCTATCTGAAAAGGGACTAGCGTGGTCGTTCCAGACTGACACCTGAGGCAAATCGATAGGTGGTAGCCTCCAGGTAGGGTAGGTGCTCTGCAGTGGATCCCCCTACCTTCCTCGCAGCTCCTGTCATCCCTCCACTGCATCCCATCTCCGATTGACTTCACTGCATCCCGTCCTGGCTCCACTGAGTTGAGGGAGAAGAAGAAGCTGTGTTGGCATTTATTTGAGTACGTTTGATAGGATGCATGTCCTGCATTGATGAGGCCACTCACAAGTTGGTTCTGGTTCCAATCCACCTCAATCATCAATCTAGGTCAGCAAGTAACCGTGGATGGATGCTGAAGTGACAGAAGTGAC